GAATCGAAGAAACGCAACTCGAAAACAGCGTAACAAGAAGTGAATGAAGAAACGAAGATCAAGTGTAGGAAGCAGAAGGGAAGGGGAAGCAAAAGAAGGGGGGAAGAGCCACTTCGAGATCCTCACCTCCCGGGAAGAGGTCTGATGGGATGGATCTCTCTCTGTCTCGCGGCGGCGCGTGTAAGTCCAACAACTCCTGGCGACAGGGGGTCTCGTGGGCAAACCGCACCATTTCCCCAGAACGTCATCCTAAGCTTAAGGAGAAAAAAAGGCTGGGCAGGGGGGGATTTGTCGACCATGGTCCACGTCTCATCGGCCGAGACTCGGTACGACGACGGCGGAGAGGGCGGGACCACAAAGTTGAAAACCCCCTGGTCCCATTCGATGAAGTGGACTTTGGCCAAGAACTACAATGGCTGCCCAGATGGCACAAGAAACATTTGCGAGAGCGACACTAAGCCACCTGGTAAGGACCTCGGCGGTAAAAAGTGCGGTGGAAGGAGGGGCGGCGATGGCGGGACGGCGGGAGAGGATCTCGTAAGTGGCCAAGGGTGGTTTCGCGATCCTGGGCTTTGCTTCATCTTTCTGCCGATTTCCAGCTGGGCATCTCTCTTTTGGGGTTTCCACTAGGCGCTTGCTAGAGTGTGGCGCATTACGCAGAGATTCAAGCGTAGATCCCGTATTTCGATCATCAACACAATGTAAATCAAGCTCGTCGGATTTCTTCATAGCTTTTGAGAAAGCTTTCGTCTTAACGATGGGCAGTTAAGCTCGTGTGAAGGAAGGGGAAGGGTACAGGGGGCAAGCCCAGCAAAACTTCAGACAACACCTCCCTACTATGACCCATATCGAACCAGTAAACCCAAGCCATGGGCAGCAAAGCACCTTGCTGTGTGTGTTTTTCGTCCAATCTCCCAACAGTGATGAGCAGCCGGGAAAACACAAGGGCCAATTCGTTCGAACCTTCGAGGGAAGAGGGAGGTTGAAAAAAGTCGGGATGACATGGGAAGGGGGGCTTCGTGTAAAGCCTGCGGCTGAGACGTCTGTACCTGGCGCCGATCAAACCTAAAACCTCCCGCCCGGTGCGACGCGGAGACGGTGGGGCCGTGTTAGTGGCCTTGCCTTCTCTTCCCGCTTACTCCCTAACAGGAGCGCGCTGGTCACGGCCCCTGCCAACGTAATCCAGGCTCGCTGTGGGATGAACCGCCATGTATCACCATTCTTTCTCCGTGTTTGACGCTGTTCAGCGGGTGGACTCCAAGAGAAAACGGCATGAAGCCTTGGCCGTTACCATTGGTCACCTACAATACAGGTCTATGGCCAAAAGTCTGGTTACACCATCGAGCCCAACCAATGATCTGCTACCTTGGGATCATAGCGCACTGTTGTTTCCGCAAGCATGTCCCAGCTCCTTAAGGATACTCTCAAAGCCTTCAGCAATGTGTATGAATTCTCACCATTCAGCCCATTACTCAATGTTGGGTTGCAGTGATCTTGATAGTGGAAATGCTCGTTTAAGCAAATTTGAAGTTCGGTATTGTAGATCTTGAACCATGTGAACATCCAACGGCGCTGTGGTTTCCGGGTGGAAAGATCATACAGTTTCATTACGTGACCAAGTCAATCCACCTCGCAGTTTACTTAATATTTACCCAATACTCTCCCTTGCGGCCTGTTCGCTATACGCCTCACATGAAATACCTTACGGCACTGGGCTCACGTGTAGTAACCCTTGACCACACATCACGGTAGAAAGTACGGATAGAGCATGAAGCCTGAACTAGACTGAATTCATTCCATTCTTTAACCATCCGTGTGGATTCTAATACCATACATGCCTTAGGCCCTGTCGTCTCCAATTCAAAAACAAAACTAAGAAGCGGTCCCAACCAGCCTGACTGAGCCACCTTGTCGCATTAAACATACACTGCCCTCATTTCGAGTCACCAGTCTCTCACTAATACTTGGTATCCCAATCGAAATGCGGGTCGATAGGCCCCTAAGCCCCGCCCTCAGACTGGTTCCCAGGCGTGTTGGTGCTCGACACACCGTGGAAGGCATCGCCAAACGCAGAGTCCTCCATCTCCATGTTCATATCCAGACCATCGCCCATAGACCCGCCGTAGCCGGCCATGGCGTCACCGGCCGAGTCCAGGTCACCCAGCGAGCTGAAGCCGCCGGGCGTCTGGGTATCCGCTGGCGTTCCGGCAGCAGACGGGGGCTTGGCAACAGGCTTGGCAGCGTCGCCCTCAGTAGCAGTGGCCGTGGTAGCCGCGGCTCCGGCGGAGGGGTCGGGCGTTGCGCCTCCCTTAGGCACGACGACCCATTCACCGCTGCCGGTTCCTTGATCAGGCGCGGTGGCAGAGGCATCTTTGGAAGACTCTGTGTTGCCCATTGTGACATCCTCGCCCGTGGTAGCAGGAGCGCCGGTGGAAGTCTGCGCCTCGGTCTCCTCCTGAATAGTAGGAGGGACCGGTGCGGGCGACTGCACATTTGCGTTGGCTGGCGTACCTGCGTTTGAGTTCAACGCGGACATGTGTGTTTGCGGTGTAGGGAAATTGTTAAGAGGAGTCGAGTTGGCAGAGAACCCAGTGTGCATCTCGTCGAGTAGTCCTGCTGCCGTGCCTCCCATATCAATATCCGAATCGCCCACCATCACGCCACTGTGGTTAGAACCAGCCTGAGACGGCCGCCTTGATCCCGAGGCATTCGCATCGGCACCAGCCGCCGGGGCGGGAGGTGAGCTCGCCGGCGGCGGGACTGGTGAAGGCTCCTTAACAGGTTCAGGGGCGGGTTCCTGGAAACCGCCATCTTGTATGCGGTGCACATTGTGGAGGACCTCAATGTGCCGGCCCAGGTTGGCCTCAACCTGAGCCACAATCTCGTCCACTTTCTTGTTGTGCTTCTGTGACCACGGGCCGGAGTTATCATCCGCATCGGCAGAGTAACCCTCCAGACGCCAGGGCTCTGGCCCACGCTCCTGAACGGACTTTTTCACATCCTTCTCCGCATCAACGAATACCGAGCTCGCCTTGAGGCTTGCCAGGTTCTTTGCATGCTCAGCCTTCATCTTCTCCATCTCAGCCTTGGTGGCATCGAGGTGCTCCTGAACCCGTTTTCTGAACTCATCAGCCAGGCCAGGCTCTAGCCGTCCAATGTAAGGCTTCTGGGGCGGCTCAGTAAGTGCGTTTGCGCTCTGCGCTGAGAAGATGCCATCAGTCAAAGGTGCCAGCTCTCCCTTGAGGCCTAGTCCGAGATCAGGGGGCGCAATCTGACTGAGGCCGTAGGGCGAAGACACAATTTCCTCCATCCACTCGTGGTTTTGCTGGTACCGTGCAAAGGAAATGTCTCTAGGGGTGAGGTGGTCAAAGAGATCCTTCTCGAGTTCTTCGTCGTCATGCAGAGCCTCGGCGTGAGCCAAAGCTTGCTGTTGCTGCTGGGCTTGCGCCTGCGCCTGTGCTTGTTGACGGCCACGACGTCCCTGGGGACCCGCCGGGGGATAAGCCATCTGCTGTGGTACGCGCCGCGACTGCGCTGGCGGGTTGTACATCTGCGGCCGTCCGCCATTACGCGGGAACTGGATCGAGGGCCAACTCGCGCGATCCGAAAGCATGAAGTCCTTTCGTGCGATCTGACCACACTTCTGGAGGTGGTTGCGAGTCCCCATGATGTGCTGGGTCTCTTGTGACACGGGGATCAGGTTGACAGGGACGCGGTCGGAGGGGTCGGAAGGGCCGTAGTGAACGATCCAGAGACTGATGTCTGGCTGGGGCGCGTTCATTACTCCGGTCTGCGAGGGTACGAGGCGGAATCTGCGACGAGCGTGCATGGCAACCTGTTCGCCTGGAATGAATGCCGACTTGACGAAGTGGATTTCGAGAGACTGATGATAAAGTCAGATTATTCCTTCAATAATGCGACAGGATGCCTACCAATCCATTTCCAACGTCCTGTCTATGGTACTGCTCGGGTCCACAGATCATGCCGTCGCTAGCGAAGTTGGTTCCGAGCCTCTTGAGAGGTTGCCATGTAAGATAGACCTGGCCGTCGCGGGGTCGATCGAGGTAGGTCCAGAAGAAGGGAGCTTTGTCTTTCGCGACTTGGGGCGCCGCCATTAACCACTTCGTTACTTGGTTCAGGTCGACGCGTGCCTGGTCGGCATAGTGGTTGGCGGAGATGAGGTGAGCATGGCTCAGCTAGAAGATGGTTAGCGATGAGTTGATATCTTTTTTCGATACCAAATATAATGCTGGCTGCGGTGACCTACCAGCTCCTGATCGATACCGTCACTTGGGTCTTGCGCCATGGTGGATCGCGACGTGGGATTTACGATGCGATGGGGTTGGGGCGGATGCTGATGCACAGCTTTTGTCGCGCAGAACAAGCGATGATCTCCTCAGGCCGTGATTCTCTGATAGGAGGGCAGTCGACAAAGAGGTGAGAGGGATTGAGATGGCGCGACAATTGGGGAAGCTACGGTTGGTTGATGGATTGATTGACTTGCAGCTTGGTTCGCGGTCCCCAAATTTGTCGCGACGAGGCTGCGGCACCACGAGTGACCCTTGTAGACAGTTGGCCAATCATAGAGGTACCGGTTAGGGTCCGTGCATGTGGGTACGATTTCTCGGGTACCATGAATCCAGCCTCCGAACACACTGTGCAATCAGCTCCGTGTTCGCCGCCAGTTCCGATCTTCAGCCGGTTCTTCGCCGGTAAAGGAGAAGTCGAGTGTTCGTCAAATTCCTTTCGCATCGCTTGATAGTCCTAGAAGAAAAAACGTTATGTGGAAGGATGCGGAGTATAGTCAAGGTACAACACGTTGCCACACATGCTTAGGTACTTATGAGACTTGCATCATGACACACTGTGTGAATGTGTGTGTTTTAACTTTTTTCTAGATAGTCGTCCGCCTATGGTCATAGCTAAGACAAGCTTCTACTGAACAGCTTCACCTCATAAAATTCGACACGGCTCACGTTGGAAGGTTGCGGAATGAGAAATGGTGGAACTTTTTGTTTCAATTACGTGTAATCATTTCATTTCATTCTCCTGGCATCCTTATACCAGTTCTTATAGTGAGCCCTCTATTTAACCTATCCAGAAAACCATTAAGCGTTGTATGTAGAAGCAGAGACGTTACCTCCGCGGCCGGTCCAGTTGACGTGGTGGTACTGGCCAGCGGGGTACTTGTCGTTAGCTGACTCGGGCTTGACGAGGAAGGTGTGGGCACCTGCAGAAACAGTATGATTAGCAAAATGTCAAAGGACTTCGTGGTATCAAGAAGCTTACCGAAGTAGTCGCGCTGAGCCTGGAGGAGGTTGGCGGGGAGATCCTTGGTGCGGTAACCGTCGAACCAAGACAGAGCGGTGGAGAAGGCCGGGGTCGGGATACCGAGGAGGGCGGCCTTGGCGACGACGTCTCTCCAGCCGGGCTGAGCAGTGTGGATGGCCTTGTTGAAGAAGTCGTCGAAGAGAAGGTTCTCGAGGTCGGGGTTGCTGCGGAAAGCGTTGGTGATGTCCTTGAGGAAGACGGAGCGGATAATGCAGCCACCACGCCACATGAGGGCGATGGAGGGCTTGTTAAGCTTCCAGCCGTACTCCTTGGCGGCCTCGTTCATCAATTGGAAACCCTGAGCATAGGAGACGATCTTGGAGGCGTACAGAGCCTGCTCGAGGTCGTCGATGAACTGCTCCTTGTTGCCCTCGAACTTGTTGGTGCGGCCAACGTACTGAAGCTTGCTGGAAGCCTTAACACGCTCCTCCTTGATGGAGGACAGGCAACGGGCAAGGACAGCCTCGGCGATGAGGGTGACGGGCATACCGAGGTCAAGGGCGTTGATAGCGGTCCACTTGCCGGTACCCTTCTGACCAGCCTGGTCGAGGATCTTCTCGACGAGGGGAGTTCCATCGTCATCGTTGTAGTAGAGAATGTCACGGGTAATCTCGATCAGGAAAGAGTCCAAGACGCCCTTGTTCCACTTGGCGAAGACATCGCCAATCTCCTTGCAGGAGAGGCCGAGACCGCGCTTCAGGATATCGTAGGCCTGGATGTGGTGTTAGCTACCAGCATATAGCTACGAGGAGCTCGGGTGGGGCTGCATACCTCGCAGATAAGCTGCATGTCACCGTACTCAATACCGTTGTGGACCATCTTGACGTAGTGACCGGCACCCTCATCACCGACCCAGTCGCAGCAGGGCTCGTTATCGCTCTTAGCGGAGATGCTCTGGAAAAGGTCCTTGATGTGGGGCCAGGCCTCCTCGTTACCACCGGGCATCATGGAGGGACCGTAGCGGGCACCCTCCTCACCACCAGAGACACCGGAGCCGACGAAGCGGATGCCCTTGGAAGCGCAGTACTTGGTGCGGCGGTTGGAGTCGGGGAAGTGAGAGTTACCACCGTCAATGATGATGTCACCCTTCTCAAGGAGGGGGATGAGGGTGTCAATGTAGTCATCGACGGCCTTACCGGCCTGGACGAGAAGCATGACTCGCTTGGGGCTCTTAAGTTTTGAAACGAACTCCTCCAGAGAGTGAGCGCCCACGATGGACTTGCCCTTGGCCTCGTTGGCCAGGAATCGGTCGACCTTGGAGACGGTACGGTTGAAGGCGGCAACGGTGAAACCGTGGTCTAGAAAAGGATATTAGCCACCTGAATATGGGCATGGGATGTGAATGTCGGAATTACCGGCGGCGTTGAGGATAATGCTATGAGCGAGTTAGTGATTCAATTCTTACACATGGAAATCTGGTAGAACTTACTTTTGACCCATAACGGCCAGGCCGATGAGGCCCATATCAGCGCTGTGACGATGGTCAGCTTGAGTATTCACTAGCCGGACGTTGCTTATTCAGGTGTGAGGAGAAGGAGAGCGGAGCGGGACCTCGGAGCAGGCACAACGCCTGCCACAAGGTTGGCAAGACGAGCGCTGCATTACGAGCATGAGTATGTTATTGCGTCGAGAAAGGAGAGGGCGATGACTTGAGGCCAATGTTACATGTGCATTGGCACCTCCCGAGACCGCACCGGCACCGAAGCCATCACGACGGACGTCGACATGCGGGAAATTCGCAGCCGTGGTCATTGTCGTGAGGCATCGGAGGTCGGGAGCGGGGTGGTGGGGTAATTTTTCTTTTGGCTTGAGAGCGAAGAGGGGTTTAGAAGACAGAGCGAGGTATTACTTACACAGGTCCAGACATGATGAATGATGTGTCGGTGGTTTAGGTGGGGGGTGTTGTTTGATGGAGGAGAGGTTCAGACGCGCGAATCTTTGATGATATGCGGGAGCGTCGAGTTATTTATCTCTAGGGAATGTGTCAAGAAGGAGACGAGAAGCTGGAGCTTTCGTCAACCCGGACGAAGTTTGTAGGGGGAGGGTCGACGGAGGGGTAGGAGGGGAGGGGGGGTGGTTTGTCTTAGTGCAGGGGCCACCCATGACAAGCGCAGATGTGCACACTCCCACTCCTCCAAGTTCCCAATGGAAGTCGACAAGTACCTCCCGGTGCTTTCTCAGCTTGGCCTTCTACCTACTGCGGTACGGATACAACTTTTTCTCTCTTCCATCACTTCCCATTCATTCTTTGGGGGTGGGATATCTCTCAAAGACTGGGCAGAAAAGCGGGACTAGACGGCTTGTTCGACCATCGACAGGGCTGCTTTGCTGCTTTGACTTGGCTGGTCAGACTCAGTGGTCACAGTGGTCACCCCTCCTGGACTCTCCTGGACTAACTCGAGATGATTGGCTTTTTCCTGTTGGCGGGACGAGCTTACTCATGGACAAAGAGGTACATACGCAGTATGTAAGTACCTTACTCTGGGCTGCTTGTATCTTCCATGCTTTGGCAATCCAATCCCACTTTCACTTCCAGCACTTCCGTACGGATTACGGAGTATGTACACGCATACAGAAAAGAAGAGGGACACATACATCACCGCTCAGGACGTGGAGCTCCATTCAGAGGACCAGACCCTCCTCCAGCCAGCTCCAATTGGACGGCCTGTCAAGGAGGGGCAGTTATGACGATGTTCTCTTCTGTCACCTCGCCTTTCCCGCGTTTCTCTGCCATCCGCCATTCTTGTTGTTGAGCAAATAAGCCAGAAGAAGCCTTTTTTTCTCGTCTGGCTGTGTCTGGCAAAGCAGATTGACACCAAACACCACCTATGCCAACCGGGTAGACTTATGCTCTCAGAGAGCATGAAATGTACTCGACCTTCTCTCCACTGCGACTCCGTTGTACCACGGTTACCGCATTGTGCAAGAGAACCGGCCCGCGCGGCGGAGGGCGGCCCAGCAACGACCATTATGCCTGCTCCACGCCGGTGGTGTTTTAGTCAAGCAGCGCGCCAGCCTGACGAAGCCCGTCGTGCAAAAAGGCGCTTCTGGATCCGTCCTGTTGTGGTCCGATTCGGCGATAGGCACCCGTTCCCATTGGCCGCCGCGAGCATGTCTCATACTCTGCGTGTTCCAGGGGAGGGATTTGCGACTCCGGTATTCAAACTCGATGCGTCAGACCCTGACGTTTCGCAACCCACGGCCGCGGAGGAACACTCTGCGCTCGGTCTAACAGGCCGCGGGGGCTCTGCCTAATCACCAATGCTAATCTTGCGCGACGCACTGCAGCGTTGCGGCCTGTCTGCTGGCGGCATATAATATTATTGCCCTCCCAACGGAACTCCGGTACTCGCTCGCTCGTTCGCTTCGTATGCTCCTGGACCGTCTTGGGTGGTAGGGGGTGAGGGACCACAGGGAATTTGATTTGTCTGGTCCATCGTTGTCTTGCCCATGGCCATGCCCCAAACGTCCCTCGACTTTGAGTTGAGAGCCGCCCTGCACGTGCAGCAACTGTCTCTCGCTCCGGACTGCATTGGAGGAAATTCCGTTTCTTCAGCATACAAGAGACCCCCATGCTCCCGGGCCGTTCCAGCAAAGCTTCGAGAACGTCCAAACCCTGGAGAAGGCCTGCAGTGCAGAGAGATACTGGGACGTCGCGTTGTCGCTATTCATCCATGAGCGCGCGCTCGGCACTCCGCCTTCAATCGGAGAGAACGCCGTGAAAAACGCAGCCTTACCACCACCACTACCAACCACCAAGACGATTGCGATTATAATTAGGCATTGGATGGGAAAAAGGCAGCGGCCGATGCGCATGCGCCTCGCGCTTCCCATCCCTGGACAGCGGATAGCGGGCCCTGCTCGATATACGCGACAAATCACGATGCGCTTCCAATGGTGTGCAGAGGAAGTCGGCCCCAACCAAACCGAAGCTGGCCGTAATGAACCCCTCCAATTCCTCCAGTTGGACTGCTTGGCCGAAGCAGCCTCAATCTATTGGGTTCGTTGAGACCCACGCCCTCAGCAGAAGGGACAGAAAATATCGCACCTCCATCTCCCAAGGTACCTCAAGGTGTGGATGAAGGCAGTAAAGCCGCAGCGCGACCGCCGACGGTGAATCCGTCCCTCGCTGCTCACAAATCGAGAAATATGGCCCTCACAAAGGGAAAACGAGGGGCAACCTCAGTGGGGGTCACCGCCGCCTTCGGGCCTTGGATCGGTCGCACGACCCGGAGTCGTCGGTTGAGAACTCCGCTAATGCTCCGCTTAGAATCCACGCGCATTACTGATTGGCATGGCTCTGACCGAGGGAAAACGCAGCGTCGTGTCGGAGGGCGACGGAGGCCATGATGTCAGTCAGCAAACACCGATAGCTGCACTACTGATTATCCGTTATGTCCGTCTGAAGATGTCCGACGGATAAAATGCAGCTGATGCAGGAACAGCATGGTTAAATGGGATGGTGACAATCCCAGCCGAACGGAACGTGAGTCTGACCAGCACGGCCGGTGCCAAATAATCAAATGGCTCAAGACGGAACTGGGATTCCTGTTTTCCGGGTTTAGACTTCTCTGGGCGTTTAATCGGCGGCATGGGCTGCATTGTGAACCTCGGGATTCGAGAAGCAACGATTTAGGTGCGCGGGATGCAATGAGCGGCAGTTGGTGTACAGTGTCCACCCACCTGGAAGGTTGAAGAGCAGTGCCAAGCAATGGACACTTCCTTGTCCGAGCTTCTTCCACGCACAAGCCACAGACGGCACGTGATAGATCAGAACTAGCCACCAGCCACATTGGCCACACACCACCGCCGAGGCTGAGACGACATCGTCACAATTTCCCCGAATACATCACCAGCAAACCCATCTCTGCATTTGCGACAGCCCCGACAACAGCACGCCCACAGTCGGCTATAGCAAAGAGCAAAGGAGATTTGACTTCTTTGAGCAGGAACATCCCAGGCTCAGAGGTACGTTACCACAAAAAAGCTCAAGCAAAGCCACACGCGCCTTGCTTGCACAAAAAAAACCGTATCATACCCGCAGTTCATTCATCATGGCCTACCCGCCCCCTCCAGGTATCTCGAGCGGCCCCCCTACCGGCAATCCACCTTCTCATCCCTCCCTGCCCGCGAGGCCCCCTCCGAGCAAGTCATCCGGAGGCTTCAAGCCCGCCTTCAAACCCGCCTACGGAGCTGCAGCCTCATCCGCGCCTACCTCCTACTCGAGCGCACCGACCTATGCCAGCGCGCCCGCCGCCCATTATGGCTCCTCCTACGCATCGTACTCGCAACAACCGTCGCCCTCGCCCTCGGTAGGCGGCGCCGGTCGCTATGGAGCATCAATGCCCGCATACGATTCATACACACAACCCGGCGCCGGCTCTCGTTACGGCCAGGCCTCGAGCTACAATGCGCCGCCTTCGACATATGGCGCAGCACCGCAGATTCGCAACCCGTTCCCGATTCCCGGCACCGGCGCCCCTGCCGCCGGCGCATCCGCCGCCTCGGCCTCCGACTACGATCCGGACATGGCGATGCAGATAGCACAGTGGCAGAGCGCATACAGCTCGAACGGCACGAAGGACGCCAGCGGTAAAGATCCGGTCGTCCCCAGCGGTCGTGGGGGCTTCCCTGGAACAGGAAGCAACGTCGCGACCCCTCCCATCATCGACCCCGCAGCCGCGGCCGCAGCGGCAGCAGCAGCGAACCAACCCCCCGAGCGCAAGAAGACCGTCGTCCGCGAGGGTGGCGGCAAGAAGTGGACCGACGACACCCTCGCCGAATGGGACCCGAGCCACCTGCGCCTCTTTGTCGGCAATCTCGCAGGCGAAGTCACAGACGAGTCCCTCCTCAAGGCCTTTTCGCGATGGCAGTCGGTGCAGAAGGCGCGCGTGATCCGCGACAAGCGCACCGCCAAGTCCAAGGGGTACGGCTTCGTGTCCTTCAGCGACGCCGACGACTTTTTCCAGGCCGCCAAGGAGATGAATGGCAAGTACATCCAGAGCCACCCCGTTACTGTGCGCAAGGCAAACACGGAGATCAAGATCACCAACGTCAAGGGCAAGGACCACCGCAACAACCGCAATAACAAGAACAAGAAGCACTCTGGCAACGGTGGTGGCGGCAATGGTGGCGGAGGAAATAAGAATGCAGATGGTACTGGGTATGAACCCCACCTCGGCCCTGTGCATAGTCACGGTGTCACCAAGCCTGGACAGAAGACCAAGAACGGTCTCAAGTTGCTTGGATGATTTCTTCTTGGTTTCAGAAATAGTTCATTCGGCTAGACTGGCGTTCTGGAGTTGGAGGTCACCCATACCCATCATAATCAAAGAATTACATAAAATAGAAGTACTTTCTCGGTCAGACTTTGAAGTGAATGTACCAATTGTGTCATGTGATGAACTGCACCTCCTGACGGGACCCTCTCTGATGTACCCTGTTATGCTACTGATTGCTACATATTTTGACGCGGTGAAGAAGGTGGGAAGTCACACAATACCATCATAAATTCCCCAAGGACCCCTTATCTCGATCCATCCTCCTTTTACGCGGGTGACAGTGTAACAGGTGGTAGCACAGCAGAGGTACTCGAGATGGAAATGACCATCATCCAAGCTCGAATTCATCCCTCCCACACTCCATCTAACCCCGGTAAGCCACTAAAAAAAAACCAGAACGGATATCATCGCTGGAACCCGGTGACACGATCCAGATTGAAAGCTGCACTGATGAGGGCCAGGTGACTGAAAGCCTGGGGCGTGTTACCGAGCTGCTCGCCGCTGCGGGCAATCTCCTCGGAGAACATGGAGAGGTGGTTGGAGAAGCTGAGCATGTTCTCAAAGAGGTTGACGGCGCGGACGAGGTACTTTGGCTCGTAGACGGAGGCGCGCGTCATGGCTTCGACGAGCCAAAAGGTGCACATGCTGAAGGCGCCTTCTCTTCCGCCGACGCCTGGGGAATGAGCGATATAGGTCAGGAATCACATCGCACGAGAGGTGGGGAAATCTTGAGGGGGCGTACCATCGTCTGATAGCTCGGTATCGTAGCGGGAGACGAGACCTGTGCTGGTGAGGCCGCCCTTTTCGGGGGGCATGAGGATGCGGTCCATTGTGTTTAGGAAGCGCGGGTCGTTGGGGGCGATGAAGAAGACGAGCGGGGCGATGAGGATGGAGGAGTCGAGCATGGTGTTGTTCTCGTAGCTTTGGACGAAGCACTTCATCTCCTTGTTGTAGCCTGTTGTACCGTCGGCGCGGTGGTTGTCAGTTTGTCGACTCTACTCTCAGTCGGCTCTTCCGCGCGATGTTTGGCATGTGTGTATGTGTATACGCTAAGGAGTAATGGAGGGACAGAGAGCTGTGAAATGTTGGGTAGATTAGCGCCAAAGGATGAGGGAAACGTACCCTTTTCCATGATCTCCTCCATTAGGTTATCGCGGGCCTCGAGCCATTTGCTGCGGTTGGGACAGGGGAAGTTGCGTTTGTCTGCGAGCCGGAGGCCGCGGTCGAAGGCGACCCAGAGCATGACTTTTGAGTAGGTGAAGTTTTGCTTCTTGTTGCGGACCTCCCAGATGGACATGTCGGGTTCTACTCAACATCAATACTTCATGCCCTTAATCAGTAGGAAAGAATTTGACAACTTACGATCCGTCAAAGTGAGGACAAAGTCTATGCAAAAGGTCAGTTCCAGTGTCCAGCAGAAAGAAAAACATCATCCACGTCCAAGGAGACAACACATACCCAGCATCTCTCTCACAGAACACCACTGATCCCAGCTGATGGGCTTCCCGTACTTGTTATACAGATAAATACCGTCCATGAGCTCGCCGTAGATGTCAAACTGCTGATGGAACGCCGCGCCGTTGCCGATCCGCACGGGCTTGCTGCCGCGGTAGCCCTCAAGGTGGTCGAGCTCCATCTCGGGGATCTCGGTCTCGCCGCGGATGGTGAACATGATGGGCAGCTCGCCGCTGGGCCCCCGCGACTTGACGAAGCGCTCGCTGATGAAGTCCATGTAGGCGTCTGCCTCGGCGGAGAAGCCGAGGCGGAGGAGGATGTAGATTGTGAAGCTCGAGTCGCGGACCCAGCAGAAGCGGTAGTCCCAGTTTCTGTCGCGAATCAGTGAGCTTCTCTAATGGAGCTGAAGAGGAAGAAGGAGAAGAAGAGGCAAGAAACAAGCATCATGGGATCATGTGAAATGCCTTACCGAACACCACCTATATCCTCGGGGATAGAAAACGTCGGCGCGGCCACGATGGCGCCGGTGGGCTCGTACGTCAGCATCTTGAGCAGCATCAGGCTCCGGTTGACGACCTCGCGCCACCGGCCCTTGTACTTGCTCTTGGAGATCCAGTTGTACCAAAACGACTGCGTGTCGTGCTGCTGGCCGTCGAGCACCGCCGTCGTGACGTTCTCCGTGACGTGGTCCGGCTTGTCGTTCCGGAGGACGAACGAGACGGCCTGGCCCTCTGTGATTTCCAGGTGCGCGACGACGCCCTCGCCCAGCATACCGTCGCGCTTTTCCTTTCTGAAGGTGATGGAGGGTGCCGCTGCCGGCGGAGCTGCTGCGTCCGCCTCAGACTCGGGGACGACGTCGTCTATGGTGACGTCGAGCTGCATCTTGTAGTGCTCGCTGTGGAAGGTGACTGCTTTGCTTGGGCTGTCTGCCGTGTGAGTCGGCTCGATGATTGTGGTGACGTGGGACTCGCTGGCGTATTGGAAGGCCGGGAAGATTTCAATATCTGGGAATGCAGCTTAGCATTAACTGAACCTTTGTGAGTATCGAACAGTGGCTACTCACCGAGCTGGAGACGGCCGCGGATACACTCGACTCGACGAACGAGCCATTTCTTCAGCTCCTCCTGGATCTTGGTCGTCTCACGGAACGCGCCTTGGCGAGTGCTCTTCGATATGACGGTGGCAGTCTTGGGGCGAGGGAAAAAGTCCACAACGTCGACAACGCCGTCATCGTGGATGTATCTGGTTTGCAAGATATTGGAGGATGGGAGGTATTGTTGCCTTTTTGAAAATTGGTCAGGGGCATCACGACGGAGAAAAGTAGTTGGGTTTGCTCACTTGGTTGTGCACAGCTTGGACGGAGGAGGACAGATGCTGAAGAAGCCTCCCTTTTCCTGGTCTAGTAATCGGCAGAAGATACTGGGCGAATCAAAGTCCGGCCTGGGAATGGTGCGTCAGATGTCAAGTTACGTGGACGAGATATAAGTGGCAGAGTCTCATCGACTGGGGAGTTCAAGCTCATGAGGGCCGGATGATAGGCCCTTCAACCGAATTGATCTCAAGATTTTTTGATGTCCAGATCTTGATTCGTTCGGGCAATCCTCGTGTAGCATATTATATCCCTGTCCATCTCATCGGCTGCTATGGGAAGAGATTAAGAGACAATTGGGGGAGGGGAATTCATCACTCGGCCGAGTGTAACGTCGGGCCGGGGAGGACGTGTAAGTAGCATAAAGACAAAATGAGAAAGAAAGGCGATCTCATACCAGCACATAAAGTCAACTGAACCGTTCGTCCCCACGAGCGCGCATGTATGCATGTTGCCAATCATGCCATAGTCCTCGATCGGCAGGTACCCGGCGCGGCTGCCGGCGACATGTCTCGTCGAGCACTGTTGAGCCATGACGTCGTTTCCCGGATCGTCGGAGAAGCTTGTTGGAGATATTAAGTATCGTCAAATAGTATATGTGCTTATATGAGACCTCTCTCAGTGAGATGGTTATGATAGAGATGAGAAAACAGCAGGGGATATCCAGCCTGTCGTTACCGCTGAACAGCTGTCAAACCAACTGAACGTAAGCTATGAAGTCAAGATTGAGGTCTAAGCAATGGGGAGGTTAAACCGCGGCGATTACACATAGAGAACGGGTAGAGCGGAAGCCACGATCTGCGGCTACCCGACTGTGGCTGCGGGGGAGAAACCAACAAAACACATGTCAGCGGACGCTTTTGTCATGGTGTCGTCTCTGGATGATAAACGCCGACTAACACCTAGCGCTCAGGTTCTCTCGACCCGCAGCCGACGTGCTGCAGTATAAACAGGAACAGATGCGCCGCTCGCTCCCGCTGCGACACTGCCTACCACCAAATTCAAAATGAGCACTAGCTATAGACGCTCTCAGATGAAAGGCTGTATTTCGGATGAAAAGCTGTATTGTTCTTCCCGAGGCAGACAACTTCTGAGAGAGGGGGGCGCGTGACTTGGGCCCAAAGTACGTGATGTCAAGCACCCGAAAGTCTGATGACGCTGCTCAATATCGCATCGAGCCGCTAGTGAGAATCCACTTTGGGAGCTCAGCTCAGCTCATATGGATACCTACTGAAGTTGAGCTGCCAGATCGGCAAAACCCCAGGCCCAGGCCCCAGGCACAACACGCGCGAAAGCTACCCTGTTGGAGCTTAGACGATGTGACGAAAATCAAATAGAACCCAATACTATGTAGAAACTCTCATGGAGAAGGAATACGGGCTATGGTGGAGATTTTCTGAAGCTATTCTGCCCAAGAACCCACCGCTCACCTGAACTGAGAGATCGATCGCAAGGGCCTTGAACATCGTATGCGGGGGACGATCTACGGAGCACGATATTGAATGACGGTGGCTGACATCATGGGAAAAAGGGTCTGGACCTATTTCTCTCCCTTGGATTGTCTAGCTTGTTCACTCAGGAGCTCACATCCAGCATCCTACACGAGAGGTGAGACACCCACGCGCTGGGGAACGGGAAAAGGGAAAGAAAAATAAAAAAATCAACGGCGTACGGGCAGCGGCGGGTAAGTACGCGTAGGTAAATCAGGAAGGCTGAACAAGGCGGGTAAGGTGTCTCACTCAACCGCCTTGGGGTTTTTGTAGGTATTTCTTTTCAATACTTTGGGCGCCGGGTTGATTTCTCGCGCGCAAAACAGCACGTCGGGGCTGGTTGGCTGGGTAAGACAAGACATTTCAACGGCCTCGAAAGCTAAGGGGCCAAGGAAGCTTCGCGGTTTGTGGGACCTGTGGTAGCTTGTGACGCCGTCTTTTTTCTTTTTTCTCCGCGTCTGCGGGGAGAGAGAGGGAGGATAGAAAAAAAAGAGAGAGAGACTTGTGTGGGAGGTTGGCGTGGTGGTTTACCGACATTGTTGCATCTGTCAGTCGATAGTTCCGATTTTAGAGCACCCATCGGACTCGGATTCTCTCATGCCCGCCGTCTGTGAGGTTCGATGCCTCTTCTGGGATGGATTCAACCGTGCGGATAGCAGGTCCATGCGTCAAGAGGATAGGGCGACGGGAGAGCTGGGGAAAACAACGGCCTCCCTGTGAACGGATGCGGACCGAGGCAGCAAGCATGTTTTTTTTGCCGTATCCATTGTATCTGCAAGTCAAAGGTCTCATGAAGGAACGGGGTCTGGAAATGAAAACAATGCGACTGTTGTTTAGGATGGAGGTTGATCACTTAATCAGCAACCTCGAGACCGGGAGGGATTGGGTGGCTAACAAAATGATTCAAACAACTTGGATGCTGGGCGGGCTTTGTTTCTTTTACTCGGCAGAGGGTCGCGGCGCAAGCCCGAGGATCCGGGTCCGGAACATGGTGAAATCTGGCTGGATGGGAGAGGGAGTTGCGACTTCAATAGGGTTGAGAAAGTCACGGGCTGGTGTCTGAGACTGAGTTCAGTGTGAGACTCTCTCACTCAAGGTGGGTTGGATCGCTCTGGGCAGTTGGTCACCCGAGCACCTTCATCGCAGAGTTGGAATAGTCCCGACCGCTAGACTCCTGTAGCTAGGTAGGTAGGTAGTTAGACTGTAATAGCTCTACCGATGACCGTGATACCTAAGCACATGGCTAGCAACATAACCGAGAGACTTGTGCTACTGCCCACGATGAATGACCTCCCTGCAGCTTGACTACGGAACCGCGGTGAGGGGCGGAGGAGAGGAGAGGAGGGACTGAGGGGAGAGGGGGTTGCGGTAAGGTTGCGTCGAACAGGGCCCCCAACAAGTGGATGCGAGATCCTGTGACTCTGGATGTGAGAGACGGCTGGGCCAAGCTTAAATGGGAGGTTGCATTTTCGGAGGTGTTGGGTTTGTGTGTGTCGGATAGCATTTTAGTAGGACGAACGGGTCCATTTACCGCCCGTGAAACTTGAAGCATCACATCTTCGGACGACCCTCAGTTACTGGCGATCTGGGCCACTTTTGCGTAATGCTATTGCTTCTCGGTCTGTGACCTCACCTGTTACCAGTAGTCACTTACCACTGTGTAGGTGAGGTTGATGGGGGGATCAGTACGGATAAAGGGGCTACCACATTGCAGCTAACTTCGCGTACCTCGAGGTAATCTCAGATACTTTAGTAGAAGGACACACTAGTGACGGGCCGCTGGAAAGCATAAAAAAGACAAAGAAACGTTGTCCAGCTGAAGATGGGGACTACGAACGAAGAAGCATGATGACTCAAAAAACACGCGTATTGTTACTACCTCATTCGTCCCGGGTGGTGACCGTGGTGAGTCGTGAGAGGGAAATCTCTCATAGTAGCCGGTGCTATTGCAGGCAGACCCAATTCTTCCTTTCGTTCAGTTCTTCCAGGCCCATTGATCCTCATCCAGCCCGTGGTGGGATGCACTATTTGTTGACAGTTGTTCTCGCCAGGCCGCTCTGCATACGTAGTATGGATTACCACCCAGAATTCGCCTCTCCTTCTCCTCGCGTGCCTTGGTGAGTGTCCTTCTGAGCTGGCATGTCACAGGGAGCATAAGGAAAGGTCATCCCTGATGACGACCCTGACCGCCCATGAGAGAAAGCCTGGAAGCGAAGTCCAGTTGTGCCAGTGCTGCAGCAGAAGCCCACGAGACGTCTCCACCGTGAGGCGTGCCAAGACCATCTCCACATTTCATCTTGGGAGCAGGAAGCAGAGACATTTTGCAGAGATTGAAGCACCTGTCCTCAGGAGAAGTTCAGACTGTACGAATACTAAGGTACATAGAGTGATTGAGAAGTTGAGTGGAAGGCGGGTGCGGTAGCGGTAATTGGCGGTAAGCATAAGCCACCGAGATCATGGGCAGGGGGCTGCAGGGCCAGACGGGCAGTGGGCAGCGGTACGTACCTGCAGCAACTTCCAGAGGTACCTACCTAAGGTACCTAAGCAGCTAAGGTAAGGTAGGTACCTGGGTGGTTTGGGCCTGTCCCACCTCACCGCAGTCCCCGGTCCCCTTTTTCCCCTCCCAGCCCGCCTGCCCCGTCCCTCTCCTTCTCCCTAGTAGTGGACCATTTTCAGAGACTCAGCGTGTCTGGTATCCACCTCGTCCGCGTGTGGGCGCCCGCGCGACACCTGTGACTGGAGAAATGATCCGCACCGCACCGCCGTGGCCGTGAACCAGGATTAGGACCTTTCTCTCACGCGCAGTCTGTCCTCTCGCCAGCCTAACTCCAAATGTGCTTCCAAATGCACCAAACATTGCACCAAAGCACCACAAGCCCAGACCCCGACAGCAAATCAACTGCGCCCAGTTCCCTCTTCCCGACCCCATTGACCTAGGCCGATCTACCTTGCCTTTTTACTGCAAAGGTATTGCGGCGCCCAGAGAAAACGACGGCCGGTAAACTGGATCTGACCCGGTAATACACACCGTACGCATACGCCCAGCCTACCAGCCCCGGCAGCTTAGGTTGTGCTTGTGAATCCCGCTGTGGATTCCCAGATTAAATCATGCCCCAATCCTCCTCCTCGCCCTCCGACTCGACTTCCTCTTCACTTGTGCATGTCCTGCTGCCTCCAGACCCTAGCCAATCTCAATCTCATTCTCAACTTCAATCTCAATCTGCCTCTGTTTCCGTCTCAGCAGCTGCCAGTGCCGTGTCATCTTCCCCCGACCCCATTGACCACGACGACGCCCTCCCCTCCTCATCCTCCTCCTCACACGACCACCACCACACTACTGATACCACCAACCGTCGCCTCCTGAGCCCGTCACCTCTGCTCCTCCCACCACCTACCGCACCCTCGCCTGGACACGCGACCACCACGGATAACACACCCACGAACCCGGATGGTCCACGGCCACGAGACGTCGTTTCCGCTCATACTGCCCACGCATCGTTGCGCCAGGGCCCTTCTTCTTCCTCCCTCAACACCGCCGCTCGAGAGCGCTCTCCTCCCGTCGCCGCCGACGACGACGAGATCGAAATGGAGCCATTGAAAGGAACCGGTCACCGCCGGCGCCGCAGCTCGCTCATGCAAAGTGCCGGCGCTAGTAACCACCAAAGAGTCCCGTCAAGGAATCAGGGAAACATGCTGGAAGAGCCAAAGATATCGGAGGAGGATCTCGGAGCAACACCATCGGCATCCAAGAACATCGACGACGACAGCTTTTCCGACGAGGATCTCCATGATGACGAGGAGACGGGTTTGACCAAGAAAGATAAGAGGAGGAAGAAGCAAAAGAAGAGGAACAACACCCGGTTAGATCAGCGCTTCGTCCGCGGCGAAATCTCGGCCGAGGAGAAGAAGGAAGCAGATCAAAACGTCTTTAGGAAATCCGCCGTCAACGTCGCCCTGATCTTGCTGTGGTACTTCTTTTCTCTCAGCATCTCACTGGTAAGCCCATTTGCCCATACGCTGCTCTTCGTCGTTACGGCCCGCAGGATCACAAGCTGACACAGAGGCCCACAGTATAACAAGTGGATGTTTGACGAGAACCGCCTCAACTTTGCTTTCCCTCTTTTCACGACGGCCTGCCATATGTTGGTACAATTCGGACTCGCATCATCAGTGCTATTCTTAATACCCTCCCTGCGCCCGTCCAATGGAGTGCGCAATTCGGATCTGGGCCGCTCGAGGCACGAATCCGAGCCCGACCGACCTCTCATGACCAAGATGTTCTATCTGACACGCATTGGGCCGTGTGGTGCCGCAACGGGTCTCGATATTGGACTCGGAAACACCTCGCTCAAGTTTATCACCCTCACATTCTACAGTAAGTGACATGCGCCGACCGACGCTCACCACAAACAACTGACTCCTCTCCAGCCATGTGTAAATCGTCTTCCCTAGCGTTCGTTTTGATCTTCGCCTTCTTGTTCAGACTCGAGAAGCCCACATGGCGCCTCGTGGCTATCATTGCGACAATGACTGCGGGTGTCGTTCTGATGGTGTCGGGAGAAGTCGAGTTCAAGGTCAGCGGGTTCATTCTCGTCATCTCTGCGGCCTTCTTCTCTGGTTTCAGATGGGGCCTGACGCAGATCCTGCTCCTGCGCAACCCGGCAACGTCAAACCCCTTCTCCAGCATCTTCTTCCTGGCACCCGTTATGTTCCTGACGTTGATCGTTATCGCCATCCCCGTCGAGGGTTTCCCCGCCCTCATCGAGGGCCTGAAAGTCCTCGTCGCCGAATGGGGCGCCATCACGACGCCGCTGTTCCTGCTCTTCCCCGGATGTATCGCCTTCCTCATGACAGCTTCGGAATTCGCTCTGCTGCAGCGTACCTCCGTCGTGACGCTCTCCATCGCCGGTATCTTCAAGGAGGTCGTGACAATTTCCGCCGCCGCCATCGTCTTCAACGACCGCCTCACGCCCGTCAACTTTGTCGGTCTCGTCACCACCATGGGCGCCATCGTCGCGTACAACTACATCAAGATCACTCAGATGCGCGAGGACGCCCAGAAGGAGGTTCAGCGCGGCCACATGGAGGTTGCGCACGCCTCGGGCACCTCCTCGAGCGGAAGCGACAACGACGACGGCAGCGGAGAGGAGGCGGGCCTGCTGAGGAACAGCACCGATTACGAGGACAACCTCGTCACTGCCGACGGCGATATTCTGCCAAACCCGGGACACACCGCGCACGAGTCGAGGACGGCCCAGGCCCACCGCGACAACTAGACAGTCGTGTCTTTTTTTCTTTCTTTTCGTTTTTTATATATCCAGGTGAAAGAGAAGGGCAGAAAGAGAAAGAGCCACAAACTGTATATTTTTTTGGGAAGAGGCATACAGCATATCTCGCCGATTTTTGGCAAGACATAGGGCAGGCACAGGAGTTACTTTCAAAGCGAAACATTTCCGGGAAAGGGGACACCTAACCCAGGATGAAATTGGTAAAAAACATGGTACATACTTGTTGGGTTTTGTTTCATCCCCCGTGAGGATATAAGGAGGGAGAGAGAACTCCCCCCTGAAGGGAAGAAGAGGTGGATATACCAATTGGCGAGAGATGATCCAAGGGCTATCATGATAGTAGTGTAATGCCCCTATCGAGGGGTTAGACACGGAGAGAAATCAGAAGCATATCAACCATAACTCTGACATCTTGACATTTTGACCTCTTGGGTATACTGGGTGTATACATGACCCGGCCAAACTCGCGTGATATCACATAGATGAAGGGTGCACGCCTCGATAGAAACTCATACTTCAACATAGGAAAATGACCCTTGAGGTGAAGTAGAAACAGTAATTGGCCTAGAGATAAGGGCCTCTATACAATGCTTTGCCCAAAAAAAATAAAGCAGGCCTCATTCCTCAGCCTGCCTACCCTCGGCTGGAGAAGTCTGTGTGAAGATGATAAATGCTGCCCTCATCTGAGTTCCCGTTCCCTCCTAGGTGAAGAAGGAGGAGGAGCACACTCCTTCCCGTATTCATGAAAGCCCATGACGTCCCATGTTCATGTATGTCGATCCATGCTTGCCATTCCCGCCTCCAAAGCGACGAATAAACTTTTTGGTTTGGTTCAGGGGAGGAGGAATTGTCTCACTCGCTCAAGTGCCAGACCCGAAAAAAATAAGTAATGATACCTTCCCCTCCCCTTATTAAGGAAAAAAAACGCCGCGCTATGCCGTGAAATCACCATCCTCATCGTCATTGTTCTTCTTCTTCTTCTGCTTCTGCTTCGTCTTCGTGTTGGACCTGGTGCTGGTTCTGGTCTTGGCCTTGGCCGTAGTAGTCGTATTGTTCTTGGTGACTCTGCCACCGCTGGTCTTGTTGCCCCTGCCTCTACCCGCCATCGAGCCGCCTCGGCCCCGGCCCCCTCTCGGGCGGACCGCGCAACTCTCGCGGCCCTCGGTCTTACTCGTGCTGACGCTGGCAACGCTGGCAACGCTCGCCTGGCTGGCAGTGCTGCCGGTGCGATTCCGTCTCCGCATGTTTGCCCCCTATGACAAGTCCATGCTGTCGCGGTCGTCGCCCAGCCTGTCGCCCACAGAGCTCAGCCCCGAGCTCGGCGGTCTTGACTCCTCCTTGATCCGTGGCGAGGTTGCCGACGGTGCGCTGCCAGGTGGCGGGCCCTGCATCTTGGACCGCCAGGTGTGGATGCTCGGGAGGTCGCCGCCCTCGACCTGGACCTCGCCCACGTCGTTGCCCTTGCCGATGATCGTGCCGTGGTACTTGGAGTCTTCGCCCGTCTTGCTGTGCTTCTTCTTCAGAACTGTCTCATTGTGTTAGCCTTTGTCGCAATTCTCTCTCTTTCCTCTCCGTTCCGTAGATTGGAAGGGGGCGGAGGTAACGAACCGTTCAAGTAGTCGCCCAACTCCAGCTCACCGTCACCAACCGCCGCCTCGCGAATGGCCTTGTTCCGCGGTCCAGAGAACCATTTGATGAACTCGTCCACGCCTCTCGTATCCTCAACGATCTTCTCTCTCTCACGTCCCCTCTCAGCAACCGCCGTCGGCGTCGCCATTGTCAAGTCTCCCTCGCCGTCCGGCACAGCTGCTGCAGCAGCCGCCGCCGCCGTCGCGAGCTCTGCGCCAGCCTCGCTCCTTCCTTCCTCGTCCAGCGAGTCTAGAATCTCGCCCAATATCGCGCCTCGCCCCTCAGCGAGCACGTCGTCCGGGGGCACGGCACCCAGCTCCTGCAGCGCCATGCGTACGTCCACCATGCCCGGGCCAGCGTCACCTTGCGGGTCGTTGTCGCCCGCGTGCCGCGCTGTCGCCTGGCAGAGGGCGAACATGTAGCGCGCCGCGAGCTCCGTGACGGCGTCGAGAACCACGGGCCGAGCGGCGTGGTATCCTGTCGCGCGCAGGATCTGGAGGACCGCGGGGCGGAGGAGGGCGTGGAAGAGGACAGGTGGGGGTGTCATTTTCTTTTTCCGTTTGTCTTTTCGTGTATTTGGTTGGGTGTTTTCCGTGGAATTAAGGTGTTTGGTCCGCCCTCGGGAGTATCGTAGAGCTCAAAGATTTTGTCGGGGCCAAGAATCAAGGGTAGTAAGCGGCTCGAGAGGAAATCGCGGGTTTGCTGTGACTGGGCTCGTTCGTGGGTTTTGCGATTTCGTCTGTCACCTTCGGTTCTGAGGTAGGTTCAGGAAGCTTCGCATGATGTTGTGACGCGTAATTCACGGGTCGCAAGTCGTCGCTGAATGGATATATAGGGTAGAGGAAAGCCGTCGGTCACATCAATCCCCATGTGCAAGTCGTTCTTTAGTTGAAGGGCGAGTGAAGAAGGTGCAAGTTCGCGAAATTTCAGCCTTGGTGAAATGGAAGGAGCTCGGACCAGCAGTGAACAGAACCTAAAGGTATCGGAAGGAGGTGAGGTGGGAGCTACTGCAGGATGGGGAACCGTTGGGGAGAGCTCCCCCGACAGTGTGGATACTGTACCTTGTACTTGCCCTCAAGGCACTTACCACTACGAATGCTCTCGAACAACCTTAATGGAAGGCAGGCATCTTCAAAGTCGCACATCACTCCTCTGGCACCTTATGCTTGGATGCCTTGCCTTGGCAACACAAGGTAGATGAATCCTCTTCATCATTTTCAATCAGGAATGACATTTCAACTTTTCGAGTATCGCCACGACGCACGATTGACAACATATTGCTACTCTCACCATTCCTTCTCAGACCCTACTACTCCATATTACTGCCTAATAGCCACATCCTCAGACTTGTCGAGGCCTGTGTACTTGTTGATCCATCCCAACACCTCTCTGTGCCAGACAAGAGAGTTTTCAGGCTTTAGAACCCACTGTTCACACACGTCAGTGATCAAAGTATCCAATAAACATCGTCTAGAGCTGCGCACTCACATGGTTCTCGTCGGGGAACATCAACAACTTGCTAGGAACGCCACGCGCCTGCAGAACATTGAACATGGCGAGACCCTCAGAAATGGGGAGTCTGTAGTCTAGCTCATTATGAATGACCAGTTGTGGCGTCGACCACTGGTCGAGATGATGGGCGGGATCCCACTTCTCGTAGCCCTCTCGGTTCTCCCAAAGAGGACCGCCAAAGTCATGCAGAGGGAAGAAGAGTTCCTCTGTAGACCACTGGTTCAGCGTTGAGAATACACCGTCGTGGCAGACCAACGCCTTGAACTTTCTTCCGAGCTCATGGCCCTGGATCCAATCTGCGAGGGATTAGCATCTATCACGACGTCGTACACTGCAGTCTTGACTCACTGATCATGTATCCTCCGTACGAAGCACCCAAAGCAACAGCGTTGCCACAATCAATGTACGAAATGTTCTTCTCGATGTGGTCGAAACACTTCACCAAGTCCACGTACGGGCGACCGCCCCACTCATTCTGAATATTGTCGGTGTGCTGCTGTCCGTAACCGGTGCTTCCCGTCGGGTTGGGCATGACTGCGATATAACCCTGCTCCGCAAAGATGGCAGGATTCCATCGCGTACTCCAGCTATCCATCCACGCGGCCTGAGGGCCTCCGTGAATGAGAAACGCGAGCGGGTACTTTTTGTTCTCGTCAAAGTTGGACGGCTTCACCACAAGGGCGTGAACGTCGTATCCCTCAGCTCCCTTGTACCAGAACTCGTCACACTGAGACTTGGACAGACCGAACGACTTTCCGTGCTTGGAGCTCGAGGACACGAGATCAGTCTTCTGACTGACGGGATCCAGAACGGAGTAAGCCGAGTTCTCGACCCTAGATGATGTGCTGATGAAGAGCTTCTCTCCATCATCCCCCAATAGCTTCGCCTCGACAACAGAACCCTCCTCGTAGATTGCTGCGGGAAGGTCTTTCGCCTCGTGCGGAGTCGCCGGCAGCTTCCAGAGCTTAGCACGGCCGTGCTCTTCCGCCGATACGTACAGCTCCGAATCGTCCTTGCTCCAGGTGATCCATTCGGGCCGCGCGTCCCAGCCGCCGGCGCCGTCGTCTGTCTGGTAGAACTCTTGTACGCTTGCCAGGTCAAACACGTCGGGAACAAGCAGCAGCCTTGGCTTGTCAGTCTCGTACTGATCACTCTTCATCCGGGTAAAGGCGACTTTCTTTCCGTCCCTGGAGAAGACGGGTGCCGCCGAGTAACCACGGAGCTTGCTAGTCTTGACGATTTGAGGCAATCCCGGCTTGTTCTCGGCAAAGGTCTTCAAAGGCAGGAAGTAGAGGTCTGTTTTTGTGTAAATGGCCGGGGAGATATTGGGGTCGCGCGCGACAAAGACGATGCCGTGCTTTCCGATATCAAAATCGCCGCTGCCACCAAAAGGAGGAACCGGAGACACCAGCCGTGTGACCTCGAGGGCATTGGTCAGACCCTGACCCTCGAACTTGTACGACTTGTCGCTCTTCTTCAGAAGACCGTACCAGATGGAGTTCTGGTTTTCAGAAACCCAGGCATCCCAGTGTCTTACAAACAGGCTCGAGTACACCTTGCCCGTCGTCAACTGCTTCTTCTCGGCTGCCGGGTTGTACATGGCACCCTCTGGGGTTGTCAAGACGGCGACGGCAATGGCGACTTCATCGTCGGATAGTCGCTTGGCTTTCAGGCTCGACAAGCTGCCCTCGAAGTGGCGGATCTCGGTGACTCTGCAATGGCTGACGTCAACGGAGGGTTTAGCATGCTTGGTGACAGAGACGACCTACGTAGACGGCTTCGTAACATCTCCCAGCAGAAGGGTCGTAGCCCCCTTGTCACCGCTTCGCAGTATAAGGATCTCCTCGTCTGAAATCCATGTTACGTCACTGTAGGATGCTTCCTCGTAAAGGAGGCTTGAATGGCCGCTCTCGACATCGAGAACACGCGTTTGAGAGGTCTTGCTGTGGCTTTCGAATGAGTAGGTCGAGACCTGAGCTACGTTAATCTGTGCTCACCACTTCAATTGAGAAGCACGAAATCCTCTGGCAATGTTGCAACGTCTAAGACTCCTCTGGGTGGTAGCCAACTCACAGTATAGAGCACTTTCGTGCCAGATGGGTTAGGAATGCCCGGAGACCTGCGCGGGGCAGAGAGCAGAACCTCTGGGGTAAACTTGGAGGCTTGAATCGTCATCATGAGGAGCTAGAGGACCACGCTGTACTGGTGGTTCGTGGACTCAATTACGATTCAAAGAAAAAGTAGTGGCAGAAGACATACACAAGGCTTGGGAAAGGTGTCGTATACATGTATGTCGGTCAACATGCATTGTCAATTGCGACACGACGACGGGGGATCGACTATCCGACCTCCACTGGGCATGGAAGCTCGGTTGAAGAGCCCCGCACTAGCTATGGGACAGGCTAGCAACGGCTGTTAGAGACACTGGGGCCGACAAGGTTCTCAGTCCCTGCGCAGGCGCTGCACAGACTCTGGCCCCCCTCAAGCCCCTCGTTGCAGTTTGGCCCGCTGCCGCCGCCCGTCGGCTCCGAAGCGATCGGTACCTATGGTGTTACTCACTTGCTTAGAGCTGTCCGTGGAGAAGGCAACCCGGTAACTACTCTTCGGAGAAAGCTTCGTCAGACGACGGAGTATACATCATATAAGGCACCGGCAAGGGAACCACCTGCATCTTGTCCTTTTCCTCCGATCATGAATCGCCATATTAATGACACACATTCAAACTCTAGGCAATATCTCGAAAAAGTACAAAAGCTCAGCCCCCCTCACGGGGGGGCCTACGAAAATCACCAGGCTCACTCTCTACGTACTATTCCTCAGTCGTATCGATGCTAGTGATTTTTCACGAGACTCGAATTCGTGACCCATAGGAGTGGAGCCATACAAACGAGGTCATTCCCCGCCACGCCATGGGCCTTGGTGATAATACTGAACAAATAACTTTCCCATACACGTATTGAAGCGGCGGCGGCGGCGGGCGGCGAGTGAGAAGGGTGATGATACTAAGGGTAAAAAGTTGCTTGGTAGGTAGCTGCCTGAGGAAACCGGCCATTGCTCGAGATATCGCTGGCAACATGAGAGGCTTGCAGGCCTGGGAAATTGAGAACATCTGAGTAGGGTGTTTCTCTACTTCGTTAAATATACCCATTATAGGTTGAGTTTCAGTATTAGGTAGGCAGATATCTTTCTCCTCCATGTACATTGTCCTCTCATCCCATAGTCCACCCTTTTAGGTGTCTATCCTCCTGTTTGACTCTTCTCGAACCAAAGATTCTACCAGCACAGAGGGCAGCTCGCTTCCATAGGACCCTATAGGAAGGTGACAACGAAGGCCGAGATTGTACCCCATGCTGTCCTAGACTGACCCAAAGAGAGTACTTTGGAATGTTTGGGCAGAGAGGTGCTCTCAAGTCGGCAGGCGGTCTCAATGCATCAATACGAAGATATGAGCAGATTCTCGTTCCGTCGTAGCATCAAGGGTCCAACGGCGCAAAAGTACCGAGTGGGGGCGAACTTTTGCAACGTCTCGGTGCAAAAGTGCCCGCAACAGACCTTAGCCTCGGCCAAAGACACACACTTTTGGGCACTTTGCCTCCCATCTCTGATATGTTACTGGGACAGACGGATTGGATGAAAAATGAGCCAATGGGCCACAATAAATTGCCCAACACTCTGTGATTGGGATGAGGTTTCCTGCTGGAAAGCCCTTCAGGGTATCGTGGTTCCGGAACTCCTCAACTCCCACCAACGTTTCTTTGCCATCTAGGCCAAGCTTTCTACACTTGTCGCCTGGGCATGAACTATATACAAATACGTCTGAAAGTAAGCGATGCTGGGCAAGCAGCTTCCTTGATCCCCAACGTCACAATCGCAAGACTTCCTTAGGGGTCTAGGAAGATTGCAACCGCTGTGACGCAGAAGGTAGCTCCCTCAGCAGTACGCGAAATGAAATTGCCATAATCCCAAGAAAAGTTTCGTAACATCATTCTTTGCCGATTCATCCAACATATAGGATAGAGCCCGTCGTACCGAAACTTCCTTACTTGCGTCCAGCGCCAAAGTTGATGCGCTTCTTGTTCGGCGCTTGCGAGTCGTGATCGCTGTCTTCCTCGGTCTGCTTCTTATTCTTCTTGCCGGATTTCGATGCCGTCGCGGACGTCGGCGTCGCGTGGTTCGAGCCGCCGCCGTCCTTGAAGGACGTCGACAAGGGAGTCGGCGCATGCGAAGCGGGGGTCGAGCCGGGCGTCGTGGCTTCCTACAAGTTTTTTTTGTGTTAGCGGCTGTGTCCAGAGTGATATCGGCTGATGGAGAGACGTACACTGCCAGGACGATACGAGACCGAACTCCGCGAAAAGACGCGGTTCTGCTCCGTGGCACCGGCCTTGCGCCGCTGGGCGGCTGCGCCGGAGCCCTTGATGTAGTTGTCGAAGCCGGCAATGATGTTACCGTTTGGTGTGCTGTCGAGGTAGGCCGTCTCCTTTTGCTCAATGTCGGCCTCGATGGCGGCGAGTTTCCTGGCGATCACTGCCCTCTTATCCAGCATCTGGCGCAGGCGGACTTGTTCCTCTCGATACATTTGCATTGTCGGAGCCGGCCCTTGCGCCGCGTTGGCGGCATTCGCTTGGTTCTCGCCCATGGTTTTTTGTTCGTCAAAGGTGTGTATGTGCGTGTGGTTTGTATCTGCGCGGGGGCGCGCGTGGGTTGTCGGATTGTGTGGGTTGACTCGATGGGGCGCGGTCGAGTCGAAGCTGAATATGGTCGCGACGAGGGGAGGATTGAATGATTGATTTATCGCGGTCGCGGAGCTTCAATGGGCTGAGGAGCCGACGACCACTTCAGCGCTGATGGTCACTACCTTAGGCCAGGCACACATTCTCATTGGTCAATCTGCTTTGGGATAGGTGGAGACCGGGGAATTGCTTAGTCAAGCAGCCAAGGGCAGAGCATAGGTTGTGGCTGCAGTTGACAAGGAAGGGGCTTTGAACAGGGCAGTTCATCGGACTCGAAATCCTTCGCTTCAACATCTCACTCAGCGCCCATGTTCGCCAGAGGTCGAACAATTCCCTGCTGCCATTGTGTGCATTTTCCTCCGTAATCAAACATCTTGAACACGGACAAAGACTTCACAGGGTTCTTTGTCATGCTCTCTGCCAAAATTAACCTTGATTCTGGGTACAGTTCAAGGCCGCCAGTGCGGGTAGTATACATAGTACCACAGTGACACACCCCAGTCCTTAGTAAGGCTGGCCGTCCGAGGCGCATGAACCAAGACGGATCATCATCTCTCGCGCCAGTCTATCTGCAACAGTGCAGAATACACGAGCGTCCTTCTGGGACTACCCCTGACTCTTGCTATGAAAGACAGGATGACAGTAAGTCTTGCCGCCCAGGAAGAGAAAAGTATGCCATACTACGTGTATGTGGGTTTCGAAATGCGTGCAAGCTGCCGCGGCCACTTGCGTTTGTCAGTCCATGTTGTTCGCCAAATAACCCCACAAGACTTACACGACAGGTGACGGGAATGGGAAAACATACACCAGCCAGCCAGCCTCCTTCAGGCATTTCACTCTGCCGCCCTTTCGGCAGCAACGGCATCAACCAATTGCCCCTCCAAATTCCCCCCGAGCTGGGGTGGGAAGGGAGGCAACATCACGAAGCTCCGCACCATCAGCCGCAGCCCCTCAGCCAATCACTACGGCGCAGCTGCATCCTTTTGACATGTCGACGGGGGTAGGCTTGGCCCCTGTTTCGTTTCACCACGAGCACCTCGCAGAGGCCTCGCCGAAGATCTCTGGCTAACGAAGAACTATCCCATCCCTTCTTTTACCCCCTATCCTGGGAAACCCCCTCACAAACTTGTTCAAGAACTTTACTTCTTTAGACGTCTTTCTGCCGAATATGCGGACAGCGGCAATGATTCTGAACAGGGCCATCCCATGTGGAGAGCAAAACCGCAAATCTTACTGGCGCAAGCGCGCGGAGGGCGACGGAAGATCACCTTTCTTCCAGGACCTCCACCAAGGGAACTCCGAACGGAGCAAGGCACTGGCTCTCGTTCCTGCATTCTCGTACTAAGAGGAAGCATCTCTACACGGCACGCGCGCATGACCACCTTCCGGCTTTAGTGAGCCCGCGTCAAAAGATGCTGTGCCCAGGGGCGGGACTGTTCAAAACCCACAGATCCCAGCCCGGTTCATTTGATCCTTTGGTTCCTTTCCCGGGGTTCCCAAAAAAAGACAAACACCTCGCTCTTCCTTGCGTCTTCACATCTTCTCTCTGTCTCTCGTCAGTCCTTCGCTTCTTTTTCTGATCTGACTGTGTCACTCACTCTGCCACCTTACAATCGTTCCCTCGTCTGCTGCGGCTCCGTACTCTGTACTCGGGGTCTTTATCCCGTTTGAAAAAGCCTTTCTCTTATAACCAGTGTAACCTTTGGCTTCTTATATCACGGTTCACGATCAGCATTATCGCCATCCAACGCTTTCTCTTCTCGACCTTACACAAGATCCATCCACCTCTTACACCACTTACATCCCGCCTCAAACCAACACCACAACACCAACAACAACCTCCAAAATGCTCCTCACAACCCTCCTCCCCCTCTCCCTCTCCCTCCTCCTCCTCCCCTCCACCCTCGCCAAACCGATCCTCCTAACCCACCGCGCAACCGAAGACGCCCCCCTGAACGCAACATCCATCATCGCCACAACGGCCCCCAAATCAACCTCCTGCGACGGCGTAACCACCTTCGCAGACGAATGCGCAACGGCGTCCCACGTGGCATCCTACCTCCCGCAAGCCTTCCAAAAATACAACGTCACAACAAAGGGCGAGATGGCCGCCCTCCTCTCCCTAATGGCCTTTGAGACGGGCGACTTCCGCTACAACCGCAACCACTTCCCCGAACCGGGTCGCCCGGGACAGGGAACCCGCAACCTCCAGATGGCGAAGTACAATCTCATGTACGCCCTCTCGATCCCGGAACTGAAGGACAAGGCAACGGAAATCGCGGGCGGCGTCACGGACGGGAACAGCTTGACCGACGACAAGAAGAACCAGATCCTCGAGCTCGTCATGCCCGACGACTACACCTGGGGCTCGGCCGCCTGGTTCCTCACCACGCAGTGCGACGCCGACGTCAGGGAGAACCTCGCGGCCGGCACGGTGAAGGGGTTCACCCTCTACATGGACTGCATCGGCACCTCGGGCACCGAAGACCGCGTCGCGTACTGGGCTAGGGCCAAGGGGGCTTTCGGGCTGGCATAAATCAGGAGATCGATCCTCTGGAGCTGGACTCTGAATCGTTTCTTCATCTTCACCTTTGACCTTTTTCAACTTCTTGTATATACTATTACAATTTCGGGTGGCAGCATCGCATAGGGATATGAATCACACAAATATATCACCAGTCTCAGTAACCATTCCACCACGAGAACAAAGTGTGAGAGTGAAAACCGTGGCTTCTACAAGTGTAGAGCTCCCATATGTTCATTGCTGTAAAGTTATGTTCGGGGTCGCAAAATACGACACACAAACTATGTACGCCTAAAGGTGGTCTTGCGGGTATAAGGATGCCTCGAGTGTGTGTCCTCGGGCTGTCCTGGATAACCAACCATTAGAGCAGAGAAGTGAATAATCCCCCCTGGGCTTCTCGCCCAGTTGCTTGCCTACCGATATACAAGTCCGTCACCCAAGGTGGGTGAGAGGACGGAAAGGAATACACCAAAAAACTACACACTAATATCTAGGAAAGTAAGCTGTCGAATGAGCGTTGTGAAAAGAAGACTTGTTGCTGTTTGGTCGGGAGTTTGATTTTGTTGTTTTCGTCTTGTTTTTTTTTTTTTCGCATGTAAAGTCTGCTGTTTCTTTTAGTTTCGAATTTTCGGAACACGTATCAAAGCTGGGATGTCAGGCAAGGCGACAAAGTGATGTTATTAAAACGTCCTATAGAATCTAAGTTATAATCGGTACTCTCAACAGCGAGGCGCGTGGTGGAGAAGCGGGCAGCAGTTGCGGTGGATGTCCCAGAGGGAGGTGGAGGTGGAGGAGAAGGCTTGTGACGACGAGGGGGAGGGGGAGGAGGAGGACGCTTGCCTATGCCACCTGCGCAGATACCCGTCCCCATGACCTTGTCTGCCGGAACAAACACGAGCGGCTCCCCGCTCCCGCTCGTCGCCTTGAGCACGCCTGTCGCATCCGTCACGTAGGGTCGGCACTGGACGACCTCGAGGATCAGCTTGCACGGCCGGAAACCCGTGTCCTCCTGGGCCAGAGACACGCTGTAGGTGCGGTTGGTGCCGACGTTGGAGTAGACGCTCACAACCTGCCCGTCGTCGAAGCCCTTGCGCATGGCAATGGTGTGGTCGTCCGTGTGGATGGGCTGGGACTTGTAAAAGAGGTACCCGCCATCCAGCGCCGCCAGCGTCGAGCGCAGGGACACGAACTTGGAGATCCAGCGATAGAGCTCCGACTGCGTGTTGAACCCCGTCTGCCACAGCGCTTCGCGGTTGTACGGTGTCTCGCCGCCGTTGAACCCCTGCTCCAGACCCTGGTAGATGATGGGAATGCCATCCATAAGGAGACTGAAGGTCAGCGCGTTCTTGAGGAGAGTGCGATCCGAGGTGTGGTTCAGGAAGCGGGGCTGGTCGTGGTTCTCGAGGAAGCCCCCGTACAGAGTCAGGTCACGCGCCGTTGCGATGAGCGTCTTGATGCCATTGGAAAGGTTCCAGATGCTGCCCGTCGTCGACTGGAAGGCCTGGGTAAGCCAGTAGTACACGGGGTAGTTCATAACACCGCTCATGACGTCCTGGTACGGGGCCACATAGACAGGGTCGCCGTGGAAGACCTCGCCAAAGGCGGCGACGCCGGCCGAGGCCTCGAACGCTGGCCAGAAGGACGGCTCGACGTGCTTTGCGCTGTCGAGTCGCAGGCCATCGAAGCCGAAGCGGCGGACCTCGCGCTTGATCCAGGCGTTGAAGACCTGGCGCACGCGTGGGTCCTCGGTGCGAAGATCCGGCAACGAAGCGGCGTCAGTACCTTGCCAGCATCTCTCGACCGAGTCCTGGTTGGAATAGTCGATGACGCATGGCGGCGTGTGGTAGGCTGAGGCGTTGGAAAAAGGGCGGTAGATGGAGTAGTCGACCGTATTGCCGGGACCGAGCCAGGCCATGTGGTTTGTGACAACGTCGGCCATGAGGTACATACCACGGGCGTGGATGGCATCGGCGAGGAAGATGAGATCCTCGGCGGTTCCAAAGCGAGGGTTGACCTCCCAGATGTCCTGCGCCCAGTAGCCATGGTACGATTCGCTGATGCTGTGTTAGTAAGAGTTTCCCATATGCTGAGCTGGGTTGAGTGTTCGCTTTTGAGCTGTTTATCAACTCTCATGAGAGCACAACTTCCTGGGCCTCAACTCAAAATGACTGCAAAGAAAAGGCATCAACTCACCCGTCACGGGATTTGCCCTGGACATTCTTCACAAAGGGCGAAATCCAGATAGCCGTCGCACCGAGACCCTGAATGTAATCCAACTGCTGCGCAATGCCCAACCACGAACCACCACAGTACGTCTGATCCGACATTTCGCACCTCGCCGTCGTCGACCCGTCCGTCCGCGCGAATCGGTCCGTCATGACCTGGTATATCGTCTGTGACCGCCATTCCGCCGCGCTCAGTGCCGAGACGGCGCCTTGGTGCAGACGGCGGCGGCCGCCAAGATCGACCAAGTCGTGGAGCCTTCATCGTTCCACGGGCTTTCAGGTTTCCGAGAGTGAGAGTGAGAGAGTGACCGATATTCGAAGAAAGAAAGAAAAGAGACTAAACAGGAAAAGAAAGTAAAGAAAAGTGACGAAACAACAAACAAAAATGAGTGTGTACAGAACAAGTCTAAACAGCGAAAAGAAAGCGTGGAACTTCGTGAAAGGCGTCCAAGTCGTAACTTATATGTTCGTTTGTCTCCCCTTCAACCTTCAACCCAAAACGGGCTTAGAACAGCAACGAGTAATCGGATAGAGTTCTTGGCGGACCTTCAGTCTGAACTTTTTTTTTGACAAGATTAGTCGGTTGGCCCCATGCCCGGTCTGCGCTCTCAAGCCTTTGCTCGCACGATCTGGAGCAGGGGATCCCCCCCAGAGCCCGAATAAGGCGGCGGAATACGGAGTAGGGCGCGGCGGCAAGAGTGCGATGCTTTGAGATAGCGTAGGCGAGACTTGCGGTTCAGCCGCCCGCTGGGAAGCTTGCTGATGTGCGTTGAAGGAAACCGGGGCGCTGGGCCGGCTTTGCGAAAGCTTAACAGATTATAAGAGATGAGCTACGGCGGAGATTGAGTAAGGCTACTTACCCCCGAAGCCGTAGTCAGCGGAACAGGCGACGTCTGGCTCTCTTTCGGGGTCCTCAGGGGCCGGGGCGCGATGTTGGGTAAGCCAATCAGGCTGTCTTCTATCCGAAAGGATAGTGATACCCTCGTTTACTGACTCTCTCGCTGCAAGGTAGTCGATGGTGAGAAGGCTCGGATAATAATGATCAAATAATCGTTGGTGGACTATGAAGAGGTGGATGGTGGAAACCTTTGAGGAGATTGAAGTCGAGTCCTAGTTCCTCGCCTAAGAAGAAAACTTGCCAGGAACCAGGAACCAAGTCGACTTTTGAACTAAAGGAGAAAAAAGAGAAAGAATACGAGTTCCCCTTCCTCTGCCTTTCTCGTTGTTGCAGTTTCCCAGACCCGGGGCCGGGGACGGGAGAAGGTCAACAGGGCAAGGTCCCGTGGAGAACTTGAGCGGACGCCCGCCCCCACCTCCTTCTTTCGATTTTTCTTCAAGAAGGCGGCTGTGAAAGGGGGTCGTATTAACTGGGGTAGTAGACGATCGGCCCTATCAGCGGGGTTATCCCATCACTCACCGCTCCGGGATGCCGCTACCAAACGGGGTATTTGGGACTTTCCTGGAGACTGGTATAGTGATGTATCGGTGTTGCCAAGGTCCGAAAAGGTCAAGTCAACGACTACTACCGGGGTCTTGTTCTTTTTGGTCGTTGTGCTTGTCAAGGCTTTAAGCGAAGGGTGGGAGGGGGGTTTAGATGTCCGCGATGGGAAACAGGAGAAGGGGCGGAGTTGAGGTTGCCTTGAGTGGTTGAGAGAAGGAAAAAAAAAGTTAAGCAATGGCCGAGAAATGAGATGGAAACTTGGAAAGCTTAGGGGGCCGTTGCCAAGACCGAAGAAGTGATGCCGTTGCTGATCTTGATACCAAACAGCAAACTTTACTGTTGCTCTACCTCTCTCTTTTTCTCTGTATCTTCGTACCTGACGCGCTATTGTTCACTAATATTCGTACCTCGCTTTCGTTGGCGCGTATCGGCCACTAACAAGAGCTATCAAAAAAGTGAGCCATCACTTACTTGTCTATGCTTTCATTAATTACAGATAAAAAAGTAAATAGGTACTGGACGCAGTGGACAGATTACCTGCCCGGCGACATGACTCGGCAACGTCAAGTGGACAGTGCTCGCGCGTCGCCGCGTCCACGGGTGCTTGAAGGGGAGGGAACCATCAACCAACGACTCAAAGATCCCGTGGTCGTGGTGCGGCGTGCGGCGCGCGGCGTGCCATGTTTGCTAACGCCGCGCGAGTGTTCCCAACTTCCTGTTCCTGTTCCTGCCTATACCCCCACCAATACGCGCAAGCCAAGATCCCCTCTCCCCGCATTATTCCTTCACCACGCTGCAGGCACAGGATTCACATTTCACCTTGACGTTTTGGGCCTGACGCAAGGCACACGGCGCGGGGAAAAACCTAACCTAAGGAAAGAAAGAGAGTTGCTGCTGGCATCTGCAGGACATCATCACTCGCTCACTCACCACCACCACCAAACACCACCATCACCTCCGCCAAACCTCCGCCCGCCCACCTCAGCCGTCGCACATGGTGTCAGGGACGGACCGAATCCTGTGCATACCGCCGGCATGGGCGCCGAATGCCACGCCGGACGGCCACCTCCCCACGCCCGCTTTGGGACCTGTCATCCCAACCACCACACCACACTCGCGGTTCGTCCAATGTCACCTCAAGGCGGAGTCTCCACGATTGACCACTCCCATCTCTCTGGCACGTGTAACTTGCGTAAGGTAGAACAAGAAGCACGTGTAAAAAAGGGAGCAGGGTATTGTATTTTCCAAATGTCCTAAAGATCTGGATTCATCTTTCTATCCTACCATGCCGAGCCTAACGCGGAGGTGAGTATGCCTAGTTCCCCATTTTGTCCACCTGAACGAACCAATCGCTCAGGCCTTCCTGATTCTGTCATTGATCTCATCGTCACATTACCCCTCACCCTTGCACTGCTCTCCCCGCGCTTCGGGCCTTTAACGCATCCTCAGCCTGCCATGCCGCCGTTGGCGTTGCC